CCCCCAGACCCCCCCCCAGAGCCTGCCTGCCTGTCTGAGCTGCGTGGGGGCCTGGTGCTTCCCTCTGTGGCTGCAGTGCCTCCCAGGACCATCTGGGCTGGGTGCCTGTGGGTGGGAGCCACGTGGGTGGTGCCATCACTACTCCCCCGCAACTCAGGGTCCACTCAGCCCTCTGGCAGCTCGCCCTCCCCTCCCTGCCTCTGGAGAGGCAAATAAGGATTGGGCCTGACCCTTGGGTACATGCCATGGGGGTTTACTTCACCCTAAATTGAAGCGATGTTTTTAAAAACCCATTGCTTCAATTTAGGAAAAATTAAACTGAAGTAAACCCCTGTGGTGTGTACAAATGGCCTTAGATATTAGGTTTTGGGACTGAAATGCAGGTACCTCTGGCACTAAACTGAAACTGATCCTTAGTGGATATTAAATATTAAAATGAAATTTTTTTCAAAAGACTGAGGACCATTACTAGATCAATATCTTAGATTTAGTAAAATGCCTCAATGACTCTTTGCCCCCAGCTAGTAGGACTTTTCCAAAATTTTTCAGGTATATGGAAACACAGAGAAACACAAGGCTTCATGAGTAGTCCATCATAAGTAAGAAATGAACTTAAATGTGATATTTGAATGCAAGTATCAATAATACATATTAATAATATAAAACTAATTGCCTGATATAATTTCCTTTCTTGCACTGTATCAGGTGGTCTTTGTAGCACAGTTAGGACACTATAAAACTATGTATTTTTCATTAAAGCTTCTTGGTGTAGTTAAAACTTAATTAAATTGTTGTGAAGTTGTAACATTCACGAGATCTTCTTACAGGAATGGAAGAATAGTGTATAAATAATATATATCCTGCAATATACTATTAGGTATTTATTTTTCTGTGTAATGAACAAGGGGATAAAACCTCATAAAGACCTTTTTTATATACTGCATAGTAATATATTTCAGAGGTTTGTCAAAAAATCTATCACAATACCACCTTGCTAATTATATTACTGTTGAGAAATCAGCACTGTTGTACTACTAGGTTTTTTAAAGGTGAATTATAACGCTAAAATGAAAACGTACATCTTCTCAGAATGATATGCCAAGTGTGTGTGGGGGTTATTCAGAACATGACTAATTTTAAATTTGTCTTTATTTAAAAATTATTTTCTCCTCCCTATTAGACCAAGTCATAGTGACTTGCCCATGTTGTCCAAGAATTCATCATTTTTTGAGATTACTGATGCTAGAGGTGATTTGACATCAATGGGAGTTTTGACATCAACTTTAGTGAAGTCAGGATTTTAACGTAACTCCTAATAATAGCAGAGGACTTCATCCTGCAAGGTTCTGACCCCCTCCAACTGACTTAGAAGTTTGTAATGATTCATTTGGGGACATTTTAGCTAAAAGGATAGTGCTGAGAGAGAAGGAAAATCTTTGGAGGAGCATTTGTATATGCATGGAGCTAATTCATGCTCCAGAATTCACTTACTTCATTCATCCTCATATTGTACTTTTCAAAAGCAAACCTCAATGAGCCTGTTATTCTCTTCATTATGAAAGCACTTAAACCTCAAGCAACATCAAGGTCTCTATAGGTTCTGTACAAACCTATAAGATTATAAGAGAGAATCATTTTCTCATGGAGCTTATTGTCTATTTGATAAGAGAAAGAAACTAGGTAGGTCTGATATTTTTTGAATTTTTCCATTTTAATTACTTTTAGGTTGAAAAAAAATCCTTGATTTGCCTACTTTTTGGGGCAAACATTTTCACAAAGTTTTGTCATTTAAAAAAATCAACTGTATTCAAAATATGATATTTTCACAACTATCTAATCTTTTAAAACAGATTTTAATCAGTATTATTGCCTAGATGATACACCAACATTCAGTAAAGATGAACAGCTTCCCAAGGTCAGCAGGAAATCTGTGCAGAGCAAGGAACAGAATCAAGAATACAGACATATGCTTCAACTGCAAGAACAACCATTTATAAATTATATTTTAAAATGTAACTACTAATACTTTGATACAAAAGGAGTTTAGGACCATTGTAAATTTTCCTTTGACTTTACCGCAAACTGTAGTTGTTCATGACTTATCAAGATCGCACTGTACTATGAAAAAAAAATAAGCAGAAAAAAATATAGTGATCTCACTAGTCAATCCATCTTCTCTTATTTTGTTTGAGAATAGTATTTTTATAAGCTAAAAATGAAATCAAATGCTCACTGCCTCTCAGCCTGCCTTTTGAGTTTACCATTTCAAACTTCAAAACTAAATAGCCGTTTTATGGCCAGGAAATAATAGTAGCTGGGTACACATTTAATGTTGATTATTCTATTTTACTAGTTTTTCCAAATCTTGGCTCATAGCTGACTGAATGTTATTGTGCAGTAATATTTAAAAGCCACCTAGTTATGGAATCATCTTTGTAGCCCACAACACGTTGAGTTTGTACTATTGTTTGAAACAAGCAACTTGAGTTCAAGTAGGGCTTTGCAACAGATGAAAATCTCAGAGCTAAAATGAACTCTGTCTAACCCAGGATCCTTTTGCCTCTTTCTTTCTTGGTCTTTCTTTTTCTATCCACCAAATCCACAGCCAGATAACACTTTCCTGCTGCGAAATTTTTAAAATCACTGACAGCTCTGGCAAATGAGAGCTGTCATAGTTTTGGAATGAGAAAATCAACTGCAGCTTACACAGATCTATGAGCTGATAGGAGTTAATTGACAGCTTGCAGGATTTGGTCTCCAGGCAGAGTTAGAGGGAATGGGAGCCCTGTGGGTTTCATTTGGGCAGAGATAAAGCAGGTTTTCATTCAGTGCTCATGGAGAGAGCATAATTAACCTTTTAGAAGTTTAAGAATGATCAAATTGTTATTCATTTTTGCAAATGAGAAAAGAGAGCTTCCCTTTCTGCCAAGAAAATGCCAGTGCAGATTTCAAGGTCACTTGATGATCCTCTTTGACGAAAAAGATGGAAATAAAAAAAAAAGAGGAAGATTGAGAAATGTCACCACAAAAACATTCATTTGTCAGGATATAAAATGAACAAACGCTCTTTTCTAACATAATATACTTAGTGAATGTTTAGAATACAGTTGCATTTGCCTGGTGGATTATAAAGGCGATTAAGGTTTTCATTGTATTGTAAATATGAAATTTGTTGCCAGCTGCTGTCTTTTGTGTGCCTGATATCATGTTTTTTTACTTTTTTTAAAGGATATAAAGGGCCATTATATAAGACAGATGAGGTTCTTCAAAGAGATGCAATATACGTGAACACAAATGGATGAAGGGTAACCATTTTGTTCAGTAATTTGAAAAAAATATATTTTAAGTACATTCTTTTTATTAACAGCGACCTAATACAAATGCATTCTTAGTAAGTAACATCTGTAATAATCTCTATGTTTTTGAGAGAAAAATAAAATCTCTCATTGTTCTCTCCACTTATTGGGTCTGACCAAAATTCCCACTGATATCAGTAAGACATAGGTCAAAGTTGCTCTTCTCCTTTTCCTTCTTCCAAAACACCAAGCTCTTAATTTTCTTTTTTTGGCAAGGTAACCAGCCCTGGGTTTGTTTTGTTTGGGATTTTTTTTGTCCTGCTGCCAGCAGGAAAACAGGATATTTTATATTTGCAGTGTTTGCTCTACTTGCCCTGGACATTATGAAGCAAAAATAATAATTCCCTTTCCTCTTGAGGTAATTCTTTCCCTGTTTCTAGGATAAGGAAAGGAATAAAATGAAAAGTATTCAACTCAACATATATCATTTACAGGCTGCATAGAAGAATACAGCCTACTAGACACTTGAATTGCCAAAATAAATATAAAAGTAAGTTAGCATTTAACACTTGAAAAATGCAAAGATAAGTATGCAAAAAATTAACCCCCCTCCCATCCAAGGCCTATGCTCCTTTGGCACTTTCCTGTGACAACCCTCACTCTTGCATCTTCCCACTCAGTGAGGCAGAGCACTCTTGTAACCCTCAGAAACCACATTTCCCATGTTTCTTCAGGTGGGATTACAACATTACAACTATTTCATCACATTTTGACATCAGAGAAAAATTCACCCTCTTTTCTATGAAAGAATGGTTCTAACTGACCTCTTACAACTCAAAGGGCATATCTACATGTGCATTAATGCACCTTTCTAATGTGCATTACATTTAGTACTCGGAGTGCCTATACACGAGCGAGAAGGCTGCTCCACTGTGCTGGAATTCCAGCGGCTTGGAGCAGACTCGCACTCCAGCAGCATCCTGTGTCTCATGTATCAACATCCCCATGCATAACATTGGTGCTGGGGGCACCTGAAATAAAGCTTATTGAATGAGCTTTAGTTCAAGTGCTCCTGCCGCCATTTTTAAGCACAGAGATGCTGATATGGGAGACATAGCAGCACTTTAATTAGAGCAGGTCTAATTAAAGGGATTCCCTCCCACCCCTGGAACACATGTAAAAGTGTCCTCCAATGTGAGGTTCTAAATCAATATGCATTAGGCTGCTCTAATGTGCAGTAGCACATTTGCACACTTTTTTTAGTGTTGCTTAATGTGTAGTAGATTATTTTACTGCACATTAGTGTAATGTCATGGGTTTTTATGTAATACTTTAATACACAGTAAAATAATCTACTGTGCATTAAAGTGCATGTGTAGATGCATCCAAACAGCAGCAGTTTTTCTAGTACAATAAACAGCTGAACTATAGAGTCCAAAAGCCTTCACATAGGTGCATGTTATCTGGGCTAGGTGCAGTGGATGGCTGTTGTACAAAGAAAATTTTGCCCTCTCTTCTATTCCACTATTTTGTTCTGAAAATAGATATTGCAAATGTCAAAGCACTTTTCTGTCTGCTGCAGACAAGCCCTTTAACATGAACCTGGTAAAGAAATTCATTTGTTAAAGAAAGTTATTTTGGGAATGAGAAATATTTGCAGTGTGACTATTTCCCTTTAGCGCACAAACATTTTCTTATCATGTTTTGCTTGAAGTAAATCTTTATTATTACAGTACCTGAGGGAAAAATTGTTCTGGCTTCCTGAAACCTACATGTACAGACTAGGCATTCTTGGCATGATTATTATTTAAGTTACCTGCTTTTTTTAAAACATATTTTTACTCTGATAAACATCCTAGCCTCTTTGATTTAGGCAAGCATGATGGTAAACTGATACCCTTGCTAACTGTTAATAAAATTAAACTGCAGTCCACTAAAACTTTTATCCCTAAACTATATTTAATAATGGTGGAATAAAGGATCATATAAAACATGAACACAGTTTTGCTGATACCCTCATTGTGTAATAGTTATTATTGTTCTATTTGTTCTTTTAATGGGTTGTTTTTAGGAGACAGTCTATCAAAAGCAGCTGCTTTAAAACTGAGATAATCCAGAATTAATGATTCCATTCTTCAGGTAATGGACACACTACATCACCATACAGTGTGCCACAGCAACGTAGCAATCACATGGGTCTACATGTGATCAGCAGCTATGTTGCTGCGGTGGCATGCTCCCCCTGTATAGTGTGCTGCTACGACAACATAGCGGCAAAATCTAACCATATGCTACATGTATGGCGCAGCAACATATAGACACGCCCAATGTGAGCAAATGCAAGAAATCTCTGCATTAGAGCTGAAGGTATCTGCTATCTTAATTTCAGAGACATATTAAAAAAAAATCCAAGTCCTTGTGTTTGCATATTGACATAGCTCTTCAGCCACTTGTTAGTTTACGGAAGGAAAACACAGTCAACCCTGAGAAAGCATGAGTAGCTTTTCAGTCTAAGTGCCAGTGGAGCCAGGAATGAAGTATACCTGTGATGAGAGAGATTATGAGAGTCTGGAAGTCTCATTAGGTGCCTGCTTTTGTGGTGAATTATTCATTCTCAAATCATATATGTGTGTAAATAGGGAGAATCTGCCTGACTACAATTGCCATCCACTTAAATGTTCAATTGTAAATTTTGCAAAACAAGCCTAAAGCGTGCAAAGTTTTATAAAATGCATCTGTCGTATCTGTTTCCAAAAAAGGTAATAATGAGCTAGCTTATATCTTCAGACTTGCAGCAGGCCTTTAGGTTTTTCATTCTAGAAAACTTATTTAGTTTTTACAATATGAAAATTATAGACACAATGACATTTAAACCTTTGCTTTTCATAGCATTTCACACTTACACCATTTTAAAAGACAGCTATTAACATTTACAAAAATCTTTCAGAAACCAAATGTTCTAACGTGCAGAATTCCAATTATGCTGTGTAAGAGGGTTATCAACCATTCTTCTACAAGAATACTTTGAAGTGCTTGGTATTAAACCAAGAGCTAAAATGTCAGTTGCACATAGACAATAAATTAGGGTTTATAAAACCATGTAAGATTTATTTAATATTACAATTTTGACCTTTACACTGCCTTAACTATAACTTGCTTAAGTTTTTCTCTCTTGTGCCTTCTTTCTTTATCTGGCTAATTTTACTTGAGTGTTAAACAAAGGTTGTGTTGCATCTTATGCAAAGTAATATCAAGCCTTCATCATGTTAGTGCTAGCTTTCAATTGCATGAAGATGATAAAGTAAGGTAAAACATTTTACATTTTCAGAAGAGAGATATTCTGAATTGCTGAGCTCAACATTCTGGGTAATATGCTTCCAAAGTCCCCAAGCCACTGCAGTTCACTTCTTAATCTCTTTTTTTATTATAAACCTACAAAAAGTAACTGTCCTTAGGCTTTTAATGAAGTGTGCAGCTCAAAGACATGCAGGTACTCCTACTCTCCTTACAAGTAAGTATAAGAGGATGTTATGGCCAAGATTTTCAAAATATGAGTGCCTGAAGTCAGGCTAATTCCATCCTTAGTTATCTAAATAAATGGTCTGATTTTCAAAATTGCTGAGGATCCAGGTTAGAATTGGCCTGGAGACATGCAGAATGATATTTATTGATTTTGATTTATAGAAGATCATAGCTTAAAATGGAAATAGGTAACACAAGTAGCTATAGTGTGATGGAAGGATGAAAAGCTACTCATTTTTTCTTGACACACAAATAAATATTCCCTGACAAATACACTGAAGATAATAAACTCATCAAACTTTCAGTTCACTCTTTCGCAAGCTCATTCTTTTTGCCTTGTTCCTAGAAGTTTGACAAATACAGGCTCTGACAAACAAAGATGAGAAGAAGTTTCCATCGACAAACAGTCAATATAGAGCTGGTAAAAGAACAGCTAGAGAGGCTGGAGACCTCCATAAGTCAGTAGGACCAGATGAACTCCATCCAAGAGTGCTGAACAAACTAGCCAAAGTCATTCCAGGACCACTGGTGAACTTCTTTGAGAATCTGTGGCACTCAGGAGAGGTCCCAGAAGACCTGGAAGAGGGCCAACATTGTGCCCGTTTTCAAGAAGGGATGAGATAGGACCCAGGGAACTACAGGCCGATCAGCCTGATCTCAATGCCATGAAAAATCCTCAAAAAGTTTCACAAGGAGTCCATATGGAATAAGCTAGTAGAAGGCAAAATTCTGAATGACAGCCAGCACGGTTTTGTCATGGGTAGGTCATGTCCGACTAACCTCATCTCCTTCTATGACCAGGTTACTCACCACCTAGATAAGGGAGATGAGGTTGACATCATTTATTGGACTTTAGGAAGGCCTTTGAATTGGTGTCCCATGAGGCTGTTAAAGTAAAATGAGGGGACTATGGACTCAACAATTCAATGGGTGGGAAACTGGCTGCAGAGTTGGATCAAGAGAGCACTTATAGATGGATCTGTGTTGACCTGGTGGAGGGTAGCCAGTGGGGTCCCCCAGGGTTCAGTACTTGGATCAGTACTTTTCAACATCTTCATCAGTGATTTGGATGTGGGGGTGAAGAGCACACTGGCAAAATCTGCTGATGACGCTAAGCTCTGGGGAAGTGCGGCCATGCATCAGGGCAGGCTGATGTTCCAGGCAGACCTAGACGGATTAATTAGATGGGTGGACCAGAACCAGATGCCGTTCAACACTGAGAAGTGTGAAGTGCTCCATCTGGGGAGGAAAAATCCACAACAAACTTACAGGCTCAGTGGGGCTATGCTAGCTCTGCCACTACAGTTAGCAGAGCAAACAATATGCTGGCATGCATCAACTGATGCATTTCAAACAAAACTATGGAAGTTATTCCCCTGCTCTACTAGGCATTGATGAGGCCGCACTTCAGTACTGCATCCAGTTCTGGGCGTCACACTTCAAGAAGGTTGTACAGAAGCTTGAGAGAGTCCAGAGAAAAGCCACTCGTATGATTAGAGGCCTGAAGAGCAAGCCACATGATGAAAGGCTGACAGATATGGGACTGTTCAGCCTAGAAAAAAAGAAGACTTTGGGGGGATT